TGGAGAACCGAAATTAACGGCCGTGGGGATTCTTTGCGCTGATCACGCGACTCCCACTATTCGCTAAAGGTGGCACTAACTTCCCCCACAAGCGGCGGTCGCTCGATCTATATAGTTCGCTTGCGGACTAAAACTATGGTTGTTTTTTGTTTTGTTTATTTAGGTGCTCACTCTGCAGCCCAAAGGCATAATAGCGATGGATGTGGACTAAGATAAGAGAATATGGCTATGTGACAGTGTCACCAATAGCATAACTTTTGTGTCGCATTCATTATTTTAATTTTTTTTTTTTTGCGTAAATGAACGTCCCTTGTTTCTAATTGTCAAACGCCATAAGGTTGAGGCTACGATGAAAATAAGATTCTTTTCCTTCAGTGCTAAAACAGGATACGAAAATCAATCATTAATTTATGTGTATTATAAGCGTTGTTTCGGATTCTGATATTTACCTGAAAATGATGGAACCATGGCTTCACCAAAAGAAGTCTATATTATAAAGGGAAATATTCCATGAATTATGGTGTCATGGAAGGAAGTCTATAATATGAACGCAAATATTCAATTTCTGTATAACAATTCGCTGTAGAGAGTGGACACAGAGTCCTTATGCAAGAGAATGCGCCCTCTCACAATCATTTGTTTTATATACACGTACGTGCCTATTTATTTGATGTATGAGGTCACTGAAAGAAATCCTGCAAATTGTAAGAACTATTCATGTCTTTTCAACAACAAAAACGATTCCATAGAACTATATATTTGTGCGGAATTCCCCAACTCCGCCTAACAGCAGCTGAAGACTTAAAAGAAAGATAGCAAGGACGGCTTTAATGACTTCAAAATATTAACATGGAAGGAGATATCCAGAAGAACACAGGGAAAATATTTTTTTTGGGAGAATGAGGGGGGACATACAGCAAGCACTGGAACTGTGTGGCCACTCTGTGTTATGAACCAGTTAATCATTGTATAGGTCGAAAAACCTAACGAATTATGACCCCATTATTAACAGACTAGAAACCAGATCTAACTTAATATATTCTCACACCCCTTATGGTCAATAATTGTACGGTAATCTTGAAGTTGAAAACAATACTGGGGCACAGTTTCCCACGGTGTTCCAATAGGTAATTTCTCTAGCATTCTTATGTCTTAAACGAAAAAAAAAACATGGCGTTCTCGATAACTGTAGGATACTAGTCTAACTGCTCCCGTAGAAATTTATATAATTGTAGGAGGAACGGTGACTCTTTCTTCTCCTTAACACAGAGAAATTAATGATGCCTGTAGGGGCGACAGTATTTAAATTGGTTTTATAATAGACCTTGCTGTAAGATTCTGATCGACCAAGCATTAATCAATAATACATAGCCTGACATTTAAATACCGACTGGTGCTTTAAATAAAGTCAAAACTTTCACTCAACCTCAGTCAGTCATAAGCATTCTGACTCTTTTTTTTTTACACAGGTCGTCTTCTTTGCAATTCAAAGGAACGTAGTTGGAGATCATTTTCTGAAACTCCTTTCAGCACTTTCATCACACTACTCTGGCTTCAAGTGATTCAAATTGATTTCCTTTCAATGATATATTTATTTTCGAGAAAATAAAAATCCACGTGTGCCCAGATCAGATGAATCCGGCAGATATCAGAACACAGACATTTATTCTCCGGCCTACAACTATTACGACAAAAGTATACAACTCGGTGCAAATATTATTTCTGTTGCCCGGTTTAAGGCGCTGCGCTTCCCGGCGACAAATGCACTGTTCTCTGCGAAGCGTATACGAATTTTGCCGATGAGTCAATATAGCCTGGTGGCCGATAACATTAGGAATGAAGTAGTTACAATTCACAGATAAGAAAGGCCCTGAAAATGCTGTCCCTCTAGGCGTACACAATCCTAGCAGCAGCGGAATGGGTTCTGATTTACCCTTTCAAGCTGTTTTGCAGGAACATTTGCTATGTCCCTACGAATATTTTCTTTCAGTTCTTCTTCTCTTCGGTGGTTACTGTAGGAAAATTTGCCCTTCAAATAACCCCAGAAGAAAAAGTCACAAGAATGAAGTTCCGGTGAACGTGGTGGCCAAATGCCACTGCTGATAATTCTGTTCCTGAAGACATCGGACAAAGCCTGCATAGACATACGTGCAGTGTGGGCAGTAGCTGAGTCTTGCTGAGACCAACCGTAGAGCCTGTCTTCTGTTAGCTCTGGAAGAACTGCTCAAAAATACGTATCTGTCACAATCAATTGTTTCGCTAAAAACACAGAACCAACAACCCTTCTTACATTTTCAGCAGACCAGACACCAACTTGCAATTGATGGAGCGGGACTTCGTGGGTGAGATGTGGATCCTTTGAACTTCAGTAGCGATTATTTTGCGTATGTATATATCCCTGCAAGTGAAACCACTCTCCATCAGAAAAGAATGTCAATTGCGGATCGATCTCCCCTTCGACGACAGACTGTAGAAACCAACCGCAAACATGAACTCTGCTGGCCAGATCACGCGGCTGCAAGACGTGTATGGATTACTATTGTTTTATAGGATCTAAGCTTCAGCCATTTTTTTTCCTCCTTGCATTAGACTTTCACACTCTAGTCTCTTGAGCTAGACGTTTCAGTTATTTTCTAGGTGCATGTTCAAATCTGGCGCTTATGTCATCTAACTTTCCCTCAGTAAGCAATTGGCGTTTTCGTTTTTTCTTGTCTTTTAAGAGTCCCATTTATCAAAGTTTACCCACCAAATTGTGAATTGTTTGTCCGCTGAGAACTATTTCATCACGACATTTACGTCGGCACTTCCTATGAGATCAGTATTTCACAGAAGTGCCATACAGAAATACATGTTGTTCTAAAGTTCTCACTAATTGTAGCTGAGAACAAAAGGTTAATGGAGCGGATATCTGCCGTCCACAGCTGACGAATCATAAACAAATTCCTACGCATGAGCCGCACTGCTCACCGTGAAACATAATGCCGTCTTGCGGTCCACAAATTTAATATACTCCCTTCATTCAAAGCTAATCAAATGTCAGACATACAGATTCGTCTGAAAAATTCTTATTCGCCTCACACCCGGCTGTGCACCGGTCGCCATGAAGCGCAGAGCCATGAACCAGTCAACAAAGATAAGAGCTTCCTTGTATATCGTCAGTAACGTCTTCACGTCTAACTTTAAATTGCTCAATAAAAAACTATTCTACTTGGTGTTCTCTCCCCGTGAACTTGTAATTAAGTAACCAGTTGGCTAATCACTAATTAATAACCAACTCCGACTCTACAAAATCTCGTTAAATAAGCAGTAGAAAAATTAACTAACTCCACAAAGTCGAGTCATCCTTGAGAAGTTAATAAACTGCTTATAGAGTCAAGAATTTCATTGCCATGTATGGAACCAAAAGCATTCGTTGCCATAGTCACAGCAATTCGCCACTGATCCCCAGGCTGAGGCAGTTGCACCAAATCCTCAATCATATCTCTTTTATTTAATTCCACGTAAATATGAGGCCCACTCATCCATCTATGTCTAGGACGACAAGTCTTTCCTCCCTTCAGGTATACCGATTAAAATTTCGTACGAAATGTTATCTCCTCATGCGCTCTACACAATCTGTCTCTGTTTCCTTCACTTAGTCAAACAATTGAAATTTGGAAATAAGTACAAATGAATTCCCCATTAAGCCTCTTCCTTCTTTCCTCATAATAGGTCTTCCTCCGCTCTCTTGGGTCCAAATATCTCTCAAGCTCTCTGCTCTCAAACACTCCGAAACTATATTCTTCCCTGTGGGTGAGGGCATATATATACACAGAATACCGGGTAAAATTGTAATTTTGCATACTTTATTTTGGCGTTTAAGTAATGGACTGGAAGGCATAAAATTCTGAACTTAGGCCTAATTTTAACAGTCATTCAGAGATCTGAATTTGTTCTTCTTTTCTTCGGAACGAAATTCTGAGAGTTCATTTCTGTTCCAAAATATCTGAACACTGCCGCATTTCCGAAGATTTTGTGACGTGTTTCTAGGTCCGCTTTCTCTTGACGAAACATGAACATATTCATAGGTTTCCTTCATGAGTAGATGCCCTTAGTAGTGTATATATGCAGTTTCTGTGTCTCTATTTGTGGCGTTTATGTTGCCACACACTAAACTGGCTTCTTCAACACAGAACAGACATTAATTTCCCGTTCCATTTTCTCTAGATTCCTGATTGAATATTTCAGAGTTGAAACATATTGGTAAAAAAACTTCTTTCAGGTCATTATGAAATATAAATTCATAAATATAATGGGTTATCTGCATGAATGTTAATTTAATAAACTTGCTGCAACAATTTGAAAATTCCTTTGCCATTCTTCTCCATTGTCAATTTACGTGTTAACACTCAGCCTCTGTTCCAACTTGTCACAAATGTTTTATGTCAGACTGTTCATGTGATGAGCGTGGACCAACAGAACAATTACTGTAACAACGGATCAAGAGAAATCCCAGCAAATGTTTAGCAAAAACGTCTGAATAATATAGTCGCGCAATCCAACAAAAGCGAAATTATTAACATTGCCAATTTCTACACAAAATTACGAGCTATATTACATTATTATTTTAGAAGCTATGTAGGCCTGTGTGTATGCACTGGAAGTGAATAGTGACCTTTATGTGCATATCTAAGAAAACAATAATATGGTTTCAACTCTCCCAGAGAAGATAATTCATTTCGATTTCCACCTTCTTGGATGTAATGCCTTGTAGTCAATTAAAATTCTACCAACTTTTCGGGAGTATATGTCTCCTCCATCTACATGGAGCATCGACTGACTTTCAGTGAACTACATGGCGATATATCCCTGAAGATGGAATTTTTCATAATCATGGCTCTGTGAACCACAAATTATAGAAGAAAATTCGACATTTTACTAAAGTAATAAATAGCTTTTGAATGTTTTATTCTATTTATAACATGAATAAATGATACGCATTTGAATTTATATTCCCACAGTTTTTCAGGGACACAGATAACTTCGCAGCAACACGGAAAGACATTTCCTTTTGGGCTACGTCGGACATCGCAATGTTATGGTGTTAACAGAGGTCACATCCCGCCAAAAGCACCGGCGCTAACACTTGACACGCGGAAGATATCCCAAAGCAGAATTTAGGAACAGAAAATGCCAGAAAAATAAGGTAACAGATAATGAGTCATGAAAGAATGGAGGTACAGAGTTGGTGCACAATTATATATGTGCGGAAAAGCAAAGCATATTATGTCATCAAGATTTAACCACGACACCCTATTAACAGCTGCAGGATGTCTGCAATACAGACAGCAAGATAAATTTAACGTTAGAATAAGTTAATTTGGCCAATAAGAAACACTATTGCTGCACCATTTATTTAGCCTATGATGTAACAAAATGTAGGATTATATTGTAGCATGCATTTAGTTTTCAGTTCAATTGATTGTAGCTTCCACAGTAATTATTAATCCACTGTTTAATATTCATCCTCTTCCTTCCAATGGAGTCATTTCTGAGTTGCTGAATTCATAACCCTTAGATAATTTTCAAAGAATATTGTCCCCTGCTCGTCACTTTATGTCATATGAAGGCTTGAAATTCCGCGAGAAGGAAACTGAAATATGTTAGCTTATTTCGGATTATCCAAAATGCATATATAATTATTTAAGAAATCATATTTTTATACAAAAATGCAGTCAAAATAAAATGGGGAAAATGTACATTAATGTTGGAGGTCCGCAGAATAAGGCACCATTTTTTAAGGGGTTACAATTTGATTGTTTAATTATGTTAATATTCAGAATATCTTATTTTATATTTTGGGCAGAAGAAATGATTAAAGGATAAATTTAATGCAGCTTTCTACATATTTTATACTCGTAGATGCTAGTGGGGTTGGACTAAGTCCCTTGTACTGCGGCCACTTCTGGCCTATTGTTCCAGCCCCAGATGATAGGTGAGGGTGATTGTGGAGCAGTTTGTGGAATGAAGATTGGCAGGGGAAACCGAAGTACTCGGAGAAAACCTGCCCCAGCGCCACTTTGTCCACCACAAATCCCACTTTACCAGACCCCCGCTTGAGCTATGGCGCGGCCTTGTATTCATAGATAAACCTACTCATAAATGCAGAAGGCACTGGAAACTCAGACGCTTTCTAACAATTCTACCAAGTAAGTAACTTAGTTATAGGAACGTTTCGTTAATTCTCATTTCCAGCTTCCCCTCTTTTGCACAGAAATTCTTTCTAAGCTAAACCGAGTCTCAATATAGGCTTGATTATTTTTTCCAACTCCTACTCCGTTCAGAATTACTTGAGTATGTTGCTCGGCTGGCCCCTAATTCGTTGCAACTAACAGGTAAACTTGAAAGAAGAAACTCTTTAACAAGGGGAGAAAAGTAATATAAACAAACCAAACTAAGGAGTCAGCCAGCCACAAGGTGTAAGCAGTAAGGGAAAGGAAACTCTATTGGTTCTGGAAGAGAAAATAAAAACAATTAAATTGTGCATATAGTATAGTTAGATTAACAGTGATAAAGTTATTTTCTTTACCCTTAGGGTTCACGCTGACAACATAAATTCCATTTCCTGACTTTTTTTAAAAATCTCTTAGTAGGGGGTAGAGTCCAACTGGGTCCACTCGGCACGGAGGCCACTGATCGGCCTATTGTAGCCTGCCCTGGGTGATTATGATGATGGAGAATTTGGTGGAATGAAGACTGGCAGGGGAAACCGAAATACTCGGAGAAAACCCGCCCCAGTGCCACTTTGTCCACCACAAATCCCATTTTACAAGACCCGGGATCGAATACGGGCCGCCGCGGTGGGAAGCCAGCGACTAACCGCTTGAGCTATGGCGCAGCTGAAATTTCCTGACTTGGTGTAAGTTACACTACTGTTCAGAGTGAGGCGCGTGTTAGGGTACCTTATACTAAGCAGACATTCCTCCGTAGACCAGAATATCGCAAACGCTCCCCTGCGTAATTTCAAATCATTCAGTGAACACTGGTTACTCTTCATTTATAGCTGCGACCTATAAACAAGCGATGGATAATTATTTTCTTAGTAGCCTTAAGCAAATCGTCTTCAAGAAGAGTGAGATATGAACAAGGCAATCACTTGACTTTTGTTAGAAAATATCAGATGTAAAGTAACATTTTCAAAGAGTACTTTATTTAATTTAGAGATTAAGTCAGTGGCATGCATAGGCATAGCTTATCAGACATAATTTCGTATCGCATGTTTTGAGCGGCTCTGGGTCTTTCTGGAAGAGAGAATGGGTCCATTTTGGTAGAGTTCGGTGTAGACTGAGTACTGGGGATGAAAGTTACTGAAGTATTTATTACAAGATAAACACACACAGGTTGTTTAGGAAACAAGAAGACAACCGATCTGTTTACCGACTTCTATTAAGTCTCCCATCTGTTCCCTCATGGATAATTACTAGAGTCTAAATCGGGGAGCAAAGTAGGGGTGGTGATGACTGAGGTTTTGTACACGTCTACCGAAGCAATCTTCGAGATATTTCTATAAATAACATTATAGAGTCGACTTCGCTTCATCTCAGTACTCTACCACCCTCTACATGAATTATATTATGCTACTCTTTGATTAGAAAGCACGTAACTTTGAAAAAATATTGTTCTGCTTTCACTAAAATTCTTTTGTTGATCGCTGCTCCTTGAAATAAAATTCTGAGAGTACTGGGCACATAATAGTTACAGTTCGTAATTATTCCATGGACAGAATTTATTGTGTATACTTCCGTTAATGATAATTCTGTATATCTATAACGATTTCACATTATACTCCTTATAAATCCTCTGTAATGACTTCCTTCCTTATAGCAACATTGGCATGTATCATAGTGCATACAGCAGTAGGTCACACTCTAATATTACTTCCACAGCAGCACACCTGGCCTCATTCTCTTTCTCTGCTTAAGTTAAACTGGGGCATTGCTATTCTTGCAAATAGTACACAATAAGCAACAGATGTTGAAGAAAGGTAACACTGCGAAAACAGGAACTTTGTTTTAATAATCTTCGGAAAAAAGGGCTAATATCTCGTCACGTGAATTTCAAGGGAATTTGGCAGAACTGTGTGTGGGGGGAAGAGAGAGGGAAGTTATTTAACTTTGCTATGTACAGACCGTATATTGTTGGGTGGCAGATTAATATAGGAATAGTTCATCGGAATGGGTAAGAAAGTGGCCGAAATGAATATTATCCTAGTTGGTTCGAGGGTCTGAGGAAAACAACGAAGAACCTCAGTCATGATATTCGGTGTCCCGACCGAAATTCGAATCGAGCAGATCTCGAACACAAGTCTGCACGGTTACTTCCAGACCATTTTGTTCGGTTTGGCAGAATAAAAGCTTATTGTTGAGGGAGATTCTGACACATCCATAGTGCCCCCCCCCCAGGCATTCGTGAGATTACACGTGAGCGTGTAAGCAGCATAACAAAGAATGTAGGACAAAACGTACTGAATGAGACTGCCTCATTATAGGATTCACGGGCAGGCTCTTGTGTACGCAGCAATGAAATTTTGGGTTCCATAAAAGTCGGAATATGTCTTTAGTAGGAGATAAACTATAAGCTCTCAAGAACAACTGCACTGTGAGGTCAGTTAATGAGATAGATTACGATAAATGACTGAAGCAGGTAGCAACAATTCCCTATTCTGAAGTACATTTTATACTAGCCTAGACAACATTTCAGGGGTCTCATCTACTTCCTCTTTAGACATCCGATTCTCACTGGCGGAAGTAAGGAGTCGGATTAGCGTAGTCGATATAGCAACTGGCTACGGGCTGGACAACAGAGGGTTCGGAGTTCGAGGTTAGGTACGGGGGTCGTGAAGCGTGAAGTTCACACTCACCTCAAACTAATTCCGAGATCAAGAAACTATGGATCTATACATCCACTCTCCCTTACCCCTTCATTGTGTAGTGCTTAATTATATAAGGACAGGAACAGCTTTAACTTTTTTTTTACCTTTTACCTGCAGAAGTAAAATTTGAGTTACTTCTACGCATAAATCTATGAGGATTTATGAGGAGTGGAGGTATGATCCACGTGTTCTTAACCTCGACGTTCTATGGAGGTGAGTGGTCAGCTTCCCGCTTCTGCCCTTTCTTCCCCGAGAAAACAGCCTCTGATACCCTTTGCATAGGAGGCTGTGTATGCCCCAGGGCCAGCCTTGACGCTGAGAAGAGAAACAATTTCCTTTGCTGGGAATCTTTTCCCGATTCCTCGGTCGTCCAGCTGGTAGCGTCATTATATTTGCCGAGTTGTTCCAGCTCCGGTGATGGATCTATTAACATTCTTTTTTATTTTACTTTCAAGATTGGTACCAGCAGCTGGGATAGACCCCGCGAACTGAGTTCTCTTCATTCAGAATATGTGCAAATCGCCGAGACATATAGGCATCTGCAGTACTCTGTGACCTGATTTACTGTTACCGGGGTAATTGCCATCGATCCCAATTATTCAGCCTCCAGCATCTATCCGACTAAGAGAACTATGAAACGTCCACGATACAAAACCTTCTTTGATTATATCTAGAATACTTACAGTAAATAAAAATTTATGTGTGATATTCTACGAGTGCATCTACCTTACTTCATGTCAGAGCAATTTATATGTGAAGAAATCAATCTTCTGGGATGTGACACCGTGTAGATAATTTGTTAACCGACGTTTCGAAGGAACGTATCGCCTCCATTTCAGGGTAGAAGAAAAAGAAGAAAATCCGCGAACGAGGAACCAGCGTGAGCAATATATGTGTACGACTTACTCGCAAATCTCAGCCAGATATAACCCCTTCGTGTGGGTTCTTATTATCAACACTAAAAATTACCAGAGCCCGAGGGCCCCAACTATATACATACAAGTTTCATTACAATGGTTACAATCGTAGGCACATTTCACTGCTGTAAATTTTAAATAAAATTGCTAACCTAAGACTAGTAAATTATCACTTAAATACAGAGGAGATGAAGCTCAAGGGGACATGAATCAGTGGTAGCAGACAACTGCCGTGTTTCAACGTCGAGTCATACTGACTAACGTCGCAACTTCTCGTAATAAACCTGGAATATTTTAAATGCCAATTTATTATTATTTTTTTTCATTGGCGCTACAGTCCCAATTTGGGCCTGGGCCTAGGCCTACCTACATGAAACTCTCCCTTTCACTTCGGTTTACTAGATATTAGACGTAAGGTAGGACTCCTTGGGCGGGTGATCAGCTTGTCGCAAGGCATCTACCTGTACACAAACACAGAAAAACGCACACAAACATCCACGCCCTGAGTGGGATTCGAACCCACGATCTCGGCTTCCGAGCGAGCGAAGACAGTGCATGCCTTAGACCGCTCGGCTACCGTGACCGGCATTTATTATTATATTAATAATAATATTATTTTACATTATATGTCCAACTATGATTAAACATATAAATTAGTTCTTTAGACAGGCCTCTATTACTATTTTATATTAAAAAATTTTCAGAAATTTATAATTATTATTATTACAACACTTTGTTATTGGCCTCTGTGCTGTTAAGTTTGCATGTAAATAAACACGAAATTAATTGGGTTGAATTAATACTATTGTTATTATCATCATCATCATCATCATCATCAGTTGGTTATAATGTAACAATGCGGCCTCAATTTATTTTTGAAGCTTTGTGGATCATTTTCTTCGATTTCTAACACCCCCTCTTCTGCTGTTATTCCAAACAAAGCTATTTTACTTTTTCTGATTTTTTACACGTTCCTGCGATTTCCGACTCTGACGTTGAACAGGTAATTCGACTTCTCAGTCCGTCGAAGTGTGGCGGGCCAGAAGAAATCTCCAGTTTTATCTTCGAAGGTTTTTCAGAAGTTTTTTCTCATTTTTGAGTAAGATTTTTAATATTAGCTTGTTAAAAGGGAAGTTTCGCACTCTGTGGAAGCAAGCGGCCTTCGTGCCTATTTCAAGAAAGGTAGCAGTGTTCTAATTACTAATTACTAATTTAATCAATTTTTCCAGTATTTTTTAAAAGTATCCTCAGCTCTTCTTCCATTTTATATGTAAACTTCACCCATCTGAGCATGGTTTTATTAAATCAAAGTGTACTACAACAAATTTACTTACTTAATCTCTATCACAGTTTCTGTTGGCTCACAAGGGCAAACCGATTCAATATACTTCGACCTCAGCGAAGCCTAGATAAAATTCCTCGTACTCTCTTACTACATTTTCTTTTTATTTCTCTCTCTCTCTATTGCTTAACACTACTTCGGACCTTGGCCGCTTTTTCATTCTTCTTCCTATAAACAATCGGTAGGACTCCTTGGACGGTGGATCAGCCAGTCACAAGGCCGTTACCTACACACAGCAGAACATAGAAGGAATAAACGCAAACACATATCCATATCTTGAGTGGGATGCGAACCCAAGATCCCAGTGTTCGGGCGAGCGAAGGCGATTCATGCCTTAGACCGCGCGACCGCTATGATCGGTCTCTTGATATGTGCGCTTTCTTCGTTATACAGCAACTGGTTCTGAAGTTACTTATCATTGAGATCGTCTCTTGTTATGTGCACTCTCTCTTCGTTATACAGCAACTGGTTCTGAAGTTACTTATCATTGAGATCGTCTCTTGTTTGCACTTAGAGAACTCTTCTGCACCTTGTCCCATGCTGTCAGGAGTGCCACAGGACTTTTCGTTGGGACGTCTACTGTTTAATATTTTATTAATGATTTAAGAGCCAAAATTTTCATTTTTTTCGAATTTCTGCTCTCTGTTGATGATTTAAAAATAATTCGTGTCATAAAATGTCCTGAGGAATACTAAAAACCGACATAGACTCTGTACAGAAGTGGTGCATTTAAACATGTGTAGAAATCAACGTATTCAAAATAATATGATTGTTTTACAAGTAAAACTAACAATACCCATTTTAATTACTTTTGTTTGATCTATTAATCGTACGAACTGATTTTGTAAATTATTTTGGGGTTATAGATATAAAACTGCATGCTCATCGTCATGTGAACTACTTGTATTCTCAGCACTGAAACTGTCAGGAATAATTCGTTTCGTCACATATAACCCTTCTTCTTTGAATAGAGTAAAAGTTGCGTACCTTAATAAATTCAAAGTCTGAATAAGCGTCTCTCGTCTGGAATAACTTTCGTTTAGCAGATTCTAATAAGGTGGAAAATATGCAAAGGAAGTTTATAAATTTATGCTATACTCGATTTATTTAGGCCAATTCCTTCTGTAATTAGGAATCAATATCCAATTATTTATATTTTAAAAAGCTTTATTCCAGGCGACAAAATCTTGACGTTTTATTTCGTATTGACGTTTTCAAGAACAAAAGTGACTCTTGTCCTATTATGGATATTGTTGATCTCCTTGTACCCACTATGTAAATTTGGGCTTTCACACCTTTAACGTCAGTAATGTCTTAAACCTTAGCCCTTCAACAAGGTGCATCACGGCTGCTAACAACATCTGGAAATCTCTGGACGTTATCAGTAAAGATAACATCACCCTTCAGGATATATTTTCCTTTGCTTAATCCTACTGAGTAACATCATTATTGTGTTATCTGTATTATTTTATTGCCTACGATTATTTTTTTTAGTTCCTTGTGGTGGGCTGAGACTGAGTCCACTTGGTACGTCTGCCACTAGTGAACGATTTTACCAGCCCCGGATGACAGTTGATGAGTGTCGAGCAGTCGGTGGAATGAGAATTTACAGAGGAAACCGAAGTGCTCGGAGAGAACCTGCTCCAGTGCCACTTTTCCCCCAAGTTCCACATGACCTGACCTGGGTTCGAACTCGGGCCGGCACGATAGGAAACGAGCGACTAACCTTGACGTATGGCACGTTTTAGGATTAAATTTTAGTCTAATTGCAGTTCCAGTTCCAGTTCTAGTTCATGTTCCAGTTCCTGTTCCAATTGCAGTTCTAGTCTTAGTCTAGCTTTAGTTATATGCATACACCTTCAGTGTTCACCTGTTCTAGGCCACTTGCTGTTGGTGAGCACATGAATACAGGAACTAAAATAAACTGAACTATTATAATTGTTGTGTGGCTGCTGTCTTTATGTTGTGTTTGTCCTTATTGTGATTACCAGTATCTACACTGTGCTGTGTCTGTAAATGGCTGCGAAGCTGATGGCTCGGCAGTTGAATAATACATAATTGAATTAAAATATTAGTATTAATATTATTACTATTATTATTAATTTAACCTTCGGACTGTTGAGTAATCTCATAAATACATAAATACAGAAATGAATATAATTAATGTTGACCTTTGCCCTTAATAGAGATGATATGCTTGCAGCTTAATTTTTAGAATTTGTTGTCTCTTCCTCTAATTATACAGAATTTTAGAAAATATAGGTATAATTGTAAGGGGTTACAAATATATATCATTTTGCTCTTCATACGCAGAAACGGATTGTTATTGTTCCCAGGAGCGCAACAGAATTCAGCCACAGTGCCTCGCGGGATTGTAACTCACAACATCTGGGAAGGAGGATAGCCATCGGCCGAAGGTGTGGTACCGTGCTCCCACGGCACTAGCCGCCGCCATGTTCACCGATCTAAATCTGTGTCGTTATGTTCTTATAACCAATATTTCAAGAATTTTTTTTCACGCTACAACTACCTTCAATTATATTTTTTTCCTTAAAATGTGACCTTCTTATGCAACCAATAAAACTCGAAATTTAAACGCCTTTCTAAACACTGAGATCTAAACCCGGGAGAGGATTATTGCCTACTCAGAAAGGGAAAAAGAGGTGGAGGAAGAGGGTAAAAAGAATGAAAATAAAAGACAAGGATTTTCTTTTAATTGGGACTGTTTTTACATAGTTCTTCCTAAAACCGTAAATTAAAACTTCCTGCCTCATTAGACGTTCACTAAATTACAGCACGTTTGGAAAGATAAAAATATAACAAAAAAGCTTTGCCCGTTTAGGGCTCAAGAGTTGTTTATGGGGAACATAATACAATTTGCAGTGTGCACTTGTGTAATGTGCCTTCTCTGTGAAGCTCTATGAAGGACAGATTGCAGGTATACACAGTATGTTCTATCCATGTAGTTATGTTAACCTATTCATAGCTGCGTTTTAAATAGCTAAATTTCTCTCTCCTTCCGTGAGTTAATTTTATGCTGCTAAAAATTCCACAGTTGACTAGTTTAAATTTAATTTGTTGTACATTACATTCTCCGCGACTCATATTAACTGGCCACGAAACTTCGTCTGGAAGTCAGTTTGACAGAAGATATTCCCTGTGCAAAATTATCATTTACAATGGCCTATCAGATATTACACCTGGCCCGTGAAGTGGAGAGAATATTCACGAACCCAACGCAACATCAGGGCTACGTGCTGCACCTACAAATATTTGAAAATCTAGTATTATTGGAAGTTAATAAGCAGAGTTTGCAAGTACTAAATCTAAGCATACTAATAAATCTAATGACAATGTATATATGCCTACTGAAAGTTCATTAAATGGAAGTACTGAGGAACTCTTTTCCGCTTAAAAGCAATATTTCGGGTACTGGTTTCCGCCTCCGTCCTCAGGTAAATTCCTACTCAGTTAGGCCCAGTCAAGAGAGCTAGTCCATATTTCGGACACCAGAACCAACACAAGACAGGATGCATAAACCAAAGTAATCTCCTGCTGATTGTTTTTGTTGTGTTTGGTTCATACATCCCCTCTTGTGTTGGTTCTGGTGTCCGGAGAGAGGGGCTAGCTCTATCGATTAGCTCAACTGAGTAGGCTTTACCTGCAAACTGAGACACATTCCAGTCTTCTAAAAAGTTGTTTTTAAACAACAAAACTCAAGATAATGAATAATGTACAAAACGTCAATAATTTTATTAATATGCCATCGTCACAAAATCTTAGATTTTACTTTTCTGCTTGCTCTGTCGTATTTGCCTTTCAGAGTAAGCATGTTCTTCAGGTGTTACATGCAAAACCTTTAGGTTCTTTCACTTATATGCTGATGTACTCTGTACCACACAAATGATAACAACGGAGATGTCGTCACAAAAACAATACATTTTATTACAATGTTATGCATACCATATTGGTTCTACTGTTCCGTGTCTAGCCTAGCTTAGCACGAGTCTTTATTAACATGCCTATTAGAATGGATGGCAAACCACAACAAGAAATTATGGTAAGAAATAATCACCTGCTTTGCTTTGATACCACACGGACCTCATAGTAAACGACGCCTCCAACAATTCTTCTGCCTTGGGATCGTGTTTACCGTTTGTTATGTAGTAACGATACAAGGATAGAGACCAGACTTTCCTTTGACTAGACAAGGACCGCAGAGAAAATGAAATGTTCAGTAATTCTTCTATTGTTGCTTGTGTTCGTTACCGCAGGAATTTTTTGCCGAATCATTATCTGGCATCGAAATGATGGGTAGACTTAACCGAGCCGTTGCCTTGCAACGATAAGAGAGACACAAACACTGCCACACAGACTGATGGGAGGGATTTATGAAGTACGGAACTAAGATGGGCTCAGTTCTCGCGATACATCGAATTTCATTAAGATTAGTTCAGGTAATCAAAAGTAGATTGGGGTGGGGGGGCACCTAGACATACGCACAGGATGCAAAGCATATAAGTATACTTTAAGAAAGCAGTCTTCTGGGATTTGGCACCGTGTATATGNTGTGATAATGAGTTCATCCAATACGTATGACATTGGGGCCCAACTTGTGTCCTGGTGCACGAACTATTTCTATCCTCTAAAAGTAATCGAATAAAGTAGATGCGTGACGCAAAAAAAAAAAAGGAGACTTCACCATCTTAGAGTAATTCAGAGATCTCCACCAGTTGATTTTCGTCTAGAAACGTTCCTGTTTAGTGCCTACCCTTCCTCCCATTAGTCTATTACGAACATCGCGAGATAAAAGCAAGAAAGCTGGTCAGTAGTGGAATAACAGCTAAGTATTACATTGATCTTATGACCACTTCCACCAGAAATGCCCTTTAGGGACTATTTAATGTACAAAGCCTTAGGCAATGTTGTGCACTGTCACCAAAGTGTAGAGCATATTTATTAACTGCAAGGAGAAATAAGATAAATTAAATCCATTTATATTTACAATCGGAAGTTGGAAAACGCGCACAATCAGAACAAAACAAAACAAAACTTCCTGATTTTCTTAACCCTCATAAATTTCAAGAATTTTAATATTCTGTTTAGACCCCATTAAAATTCTCTTTGATCATTCCAATAATTACAGATCTTAAAAAATTCTGCATTCTTCGTGGACCATAATTCAGGACTGGGTTTTTGGTATGAAATTCTTCAACCCTTTTGACATATTTCGGAAATTAAGCTCTGTCGTCAGGAACTACATCCATAATATTTTTAATCCACTGCATTTCAAATCTTTTGATCCCGAGGTATCTCGTCCCAATTTACGTCCTTCTGGCACCGTAATTTCTACTAATTTCTTACTTCTAATTCGTTACCTATGAAGTCTCGAAGGCCCAAATTTAATATTCTGGCTGAAAGAGCATATGAACAGTAGTTTCATATTTCACGGTTCATTCACTGCCTGTAATTACAGGTCCTATAAATTTAAAATTTCCCATCCTATACCTAACTAAATTTATTGTTTTCCTCAGTTATTTGGGTCTCCAACACATTTTCTGTTGTTACAGGTCAACTGTACGTTTCATCCCCTGAATCTGTTATCAGTTTTTGCTTTCATGATGATATCGTCTTGCCTCTTTTCTTGGGTTAGTTCACGAGAATATCGGTATCGAAACGATACGGCGCCGGACCATAGCATGATACATGAATGATGAATCGGAAGGGATTTCGAAGGGAATGCTCATAGCACAATCGAAGTAAACAAGTAAAACTGTTCCTGTAACAGGCCGTGGATGCCCATTGAGTCGTGAGACGTCGAGGTTCCCACATTTTCTAGACAATCGGCACACAGCAGGCGGTGAGGTTATCAGCCTTACACCCCAGCCTCTCTTTACCCCTACGAAGATTCCTGGTACTCGTTCCTGTTTTGGGCTGAGTCGATCCCAGGACCATAATGCGGCTGGAAGGAATAGATCAATTGAAAAATCCAATGACCTAATCAAGAATCGAACCCGCAACTTTCTTCTTTGTAGCACAGTACCTCAATCAGCTACACTACAATGTGGGTACTTTCCCGAATTTATGCGGATGGAAGGAGGAAAACCACGAATTCTTCGTCCAGGACAACAGGTGTTCCGGCCAATTTTCAAACCGAACACATCTTGAATACAAGTCTACAACGTTACTTTTAGATGGTAATCCTTTGTAGATAATTATGTTCCCTCCGCGAGCAAGGAACCAGCTTGAGCATGTGACTGGTGTCAAGCTGCTTCCTCGTTCGCGGATTTTTTATACCCTGAAGATCGAGGTGATACGTTCCTCCGAAACGTCGGTTTACACAATATCTACACGGCGCCATGTCCCAGAAGACGGAATTCTTCAAATACACCGCCGTGTAAACCTAAAATCTTCACAGTTCTTATCATCTTAGATATAACGTCTTGTAGTGCGTTAAATGTCTACTGACGTTACAGAAGAACATGTTGCCTCCATCTTCAGGGTCTGCTCGCCACCCGTTTCACTGCGATTCCTTGCTTGGCTTATTCTTTTACCCTAAAGACAGATGCGGCATGTTTCTTCGAAGTGTGTGTTGACTTACAAAGGACTACAAGATACTATATCCCAGAAGATAGAACAATTCAAGAAAAAAAAGTATTCGCGCTAATATGAACTGGCTTGTACATAAGTCTATTATTAGTAAAATACATAATAAATACCCGATCATGCCGCGCCTATGTTGACTGAAGATTTGGTTTCACAAGCTTTAACAGGAGATTTAAGTTGCAGCAATGGTTGAGTAAGCAGCAGAAATATAAAGCGGATTATACACAGGATTTCTGCAGAGGTTAATGCAGTCCTAATTAAAGCATGAAATGGGAGTTGCTCTACCAGCTCAGTGGTCGGTATCTTCTGATGACTCCAATCTTAGGTAGGGTCTCTTTTTCTAAGTGTAAGTTCAAGTTATAAGGCTGAAATATGTACTGCACCAACAGATGTACAAGTATTGCTGGTATGCACACCAGTGCACCTCGAACAGGCTAGAGAAACTGTTGCTATACAGCAAGTACGGATCTACCGCAGAGAACAGAGTGCAGAAATCAGAAGAAGGATGATAGATCGCCTCTGATTGTTATTTTATGGCCCCATTCTGAGCACAGGGAAAAGCGTTGGCTGCCATACAGAATGCGTGGATCGCAAGGTTGTACGAAGTGACATATGTAATTGAAGTCACGCAAGTGAAACGCTTCTGCACGCAATGCCAAGTGTTAAATAATAGTCCGCGTGGGAGGTCCATGTAACCTACCTTGAATGGCGTGCCTAGAACTGATGTGATACACGCCTGAGCATTGAAGATTCTGTTTCCCGGGTTTAAACAGTTCACAAGGTCACCATGAATGATTCTTTATCTACGGTCTCTGTTACCTTAACTGGTATAACAAGCCACTATAAAGAAGGAAACAAATACACTGGCTGTACTTAACCTTACTGTGGCCACACCTGAAAATAATGGCGTCTATCTGTATATAGGCCTATTTGTTTCGATGGCTGAACATAGTTAGA